CTTTTGCTATTTGGCTTAACTTTAGTAGGACAGCGGTGTTAGCTGTGTCATACCTGATCACCAGATGACCTGAAATACTGTCGTAAGAGCTCAACTCCCTAAAAAATAAAAAAAACATTTTTTGAAATAAGTGAGATATTACTATTACCCCTGAATTTGCCATGGGCCGGAATGAAATGGAAAATCAAGGAAAGAAATTTGATAAGGAATGAAAAATCAAATAACCAAGGCAAAAATATATTTTAATGGAAATTAAAAAGAACAGCAATAAATTAAGCAGAGGATAAACCTTGTGTAGCCATATAATATTTTACACACACACACAAATTAAAAGAGTATTACAGACTCTATAAACATTTAAAGCCAGTAGGAAGCAGTAGGAAGTGAGAAAGTGAAAGCTAACCACACTGCTCAGTACCAATCCCTTGTGCACATGCTATATCATACAGTCTTTAATTACACCACTATGTACAAGGAGATGACGAAGAATTTTCCAGGAAAAAAAATGTTTTCCTCAAAATCACACTATGTAGTAGAAAAAAATATCAAAAAACAAAGGGAAAGAGACTGTGCAGTAACCAAAAGGCAAGGCACTATGGTAAATACCTGACGTGAAGTGTCCCACATACGAGTGCTTTGACTGGTAGAGGCATACACTTTGGTCTCTTCTGGGTCATCACCTTGTTTCCATGTTCTCTGTTACCCTGGACTTGATCCTCTCTTTTTTTCTCCCTCCCCTTCCCCCTTTTCATTAATAACTTTACAAAGCCTTTGTTTCATCTGCTCTTGTGCGATGGTAAATGAAGGCAATTTGACAGGGCAGTGGGGCTTTTCTGCTTGATCTTGTTCACAAGCACCCCTTTGGCATGCAGAGTAGGTAGTTTGGCATGGCCAAAGCTTTCTTCAGGAGTTGGCTTACAGTGTTAAACTTACCTATATCTGGGGCCACATCTGGGGCACATAAATCCTAATCTGAACCCAACACTCTTGTGCTTTTCCTGTTCTTCTCCCCACCATGCTATAGCAGCCATGTGCTTATCTTTTACAGCCTGAATTTGAGGGGATAAGATCATCCTATGCTTTTTAATAAATCTGTATTCCAAACAAATGAGATTAAAGCAAAAAATGCCTGTTAATTTTGGGTATCCAACTACAGATACTGTCTACTTGATTTTTCAACCTGCTTGGCATTCTGCATCGCTTGGCATAGTCAATGCAGAGTCCCACAGATTTTATCTGAGGTAGCGTGTGATTCACTTCAGCCTATCAGACTCCAAAATTTCAAGATGGGCCCTCCTCATATGAAAATCTCAGTTAATCATTACCTCTTGAGGCAACTTTCCCCACATTGCAGAAGCTTTGAGGTGACAGGGGAACGGAAGCAAACTCAGCAGGAAAAATTCAGCTACTGCTTTGCCACAAAGCCCTGTTTTCACCCCTTGTAATTCTCTGCCTTCTATATGATCCATACCCAGTTCTGCGACAAATTAGACTGGAATCTAGTGAATAAAATCTATAAAGTACTGATCTGTTCCCAGAGGAAGGGTACCTTGCAGGGTTTAGTTTCTGCTTCAGGAATTGTGTAGAATTTAGTCCGTGCGGTCACGTATCATAAGGTATGGAGGCTGAATTGAGGTGCTCTGAAACCCTCGGGTTAGTCATCTCCGTAACATCCCTGATGTTGTGGCTAGTGTTGAATATGTAACACATTTCCTTAGTTTGGTGGTGACCCACACACAAAAAAAAATCAAAATACATTTTGAATCAGCTAGGAAATAAGTTTCTTAAAGATCATTTAGTTCTTTTTTAGCATTAGAAAGCAAACTCCGTTCCAAATGAAAAACATTAATTATGTAGCTGTAGTGCATCAACTGAAAATGGGAGGGGGGGAGAAACAATTTGACTTTCAGAATTTCTACCATGTTCCAAATTAAATTCAGGCCAGCTACTCTGGACATCCTGCAATTAAGCATCCTTGCTCTTGGCTGACAACATTAGTCAGTTTTGCTAGCCTTGCCCTCCCATCTCCCCTCCAGGTTCCTCAACCAAGGAGTTTCTCTCTGCTCTCTCTGCACAACCTCTGTGTCTCCTTACCTAATCAGTCCCAGGCTCCTGCCTCCAAACACTAGTCCCAGTTTTTCTCTCCGGACTGCTTGGCTGCTTCTACTGCCTGCTCTGTCACAGGCTGGATGGGTTTTTTTCTCTGTGTTGTATTCACGCAGAGACCTTTCTTCTTGACACAACCTTCAAATCGTTTGGAGCTTAGAAGAGATAGGATTCTTACCTCTCAGATTCTGTGCCAAAGCTCAGGCTCATGGGGAAAATTTGGAGGTGGGGATTAAAGTGGAAGTCTAGCCTCACCACTGTATCCTAAAGCTTCTGTTTGCAGAGAGGGCCAATCTGTAGCAATTCCTTTTCCCTACTAAAATAAATCATTACTGGGCATCTGTTCATGACACAATTTCTAATACTTGTAAGTTAACCACATTTGGATACATTTTCAGACAGAGAGGGAAAGGCATATTTTGAATAAAAAAGGTCACATTTTGAGACTGCGCTTCAAAGCCTGAGGGCAGCAGAGCATTTCAAGGGAAAAAAGTTTCCATTTTAGTATGAGCAAAACTGTTTATTTTTCCATAACCTTGTTCTTGGAAATGGACAAATTGTTTTGGCAGGTATTTTCAAAATAATCTGCGCGGTACAGACAGTCAGCATATCAGTTTTCAGCCTAAGTGATGATGTTTTTTCCAAAGCTACATGCAACAGAAAATACGATCTCTGCTGAGAAATGTTTGCCAACCCCACTACAGGGAATGGCAGCACGTCCACCTTAGAATATATATTATCACAGATTACATTGTCTGAGGATTTCTGATTTTTCTCAAACACCAATTGCCTCATGGAAAGGCAATAGGGTCAGTGACTCTTACTTCCCTATTTTAGAGGCAGAGAAACTAAAACAAGAGGAAAGGGGGAAAAAACAGGGATGGAATTAAAAAAATCCTGATCTGCTCCTTAGTTCCCCAGTTATGCACCCCTTGCTGCCACCTCTGAGGGCTGTTATTTGTGCAATGCTCCTCCGGTCTGGAGTATTGCAGGTGTTCTTTACGCTGCACAGACACGCACGTCAGAGACAGCATCCCTGGTGTAATTACTGTGATTTAACTCTCTGTGATCGAAAGTTTGGGGGGGGCTATAAAAGAGAGCACAGCGGGTACAGGAGATATCTTCAAATAATAGTTTAATTCAGCCAAGAACAACCAGCCTCCCACATTCAGCTTGTGAATCTATTCAGTAAAATAAAACTAAATTCAAATATTTCTGAGGCACCTGATGAAACTCATGGGAAACGCCTGGTGGAAAAGAGAGGCATGAGGGGAAAGCTGTGGTAGGGCTCCACTGAGACAGATTAGGTTGCTAATGTGACCCATTGGGTGATGGCCACTGCCTTTGCTGTTGCTCCAAGTTCTCTGGCTGAGGTGAGTCCCAGGAAAGGCATAGTCCAGAGGTGCTGGAGGCCTTAGGTAGACAAGCTACTTAGAAGTTCATGCCACTGTCTGGCTCACTTGGGAAAGTAAGAAACATAGTTAAGTGTTAACAGTAAGCGATGAGATAGCCCCATGCAAACCGAGAAGCTCTGCTAAAAACCACCCCAACAGCTACAACAAATTCCTTAGCTTAAACTGCGGCTCTCTTCAGAGGAGAAAAAAAAAAAAAAGGAAAAAAAAAAAAGAAAGAATTGCCAAATCAAACTGCTGACTCCTTTTTTCTTATCAAAACACTACAGCATACATCTTAACAGCCTGAAGTAAATCAAATGCAGGACCAGCTGGAACTGGCCAGCTCTTGACCCTTCCTTGATATCAGGTGTGTGCCGCACTTCTCTGACAGATTAATTTATGATCTAAAGTAACTCAGAGCCCCTAAAACTTTCAGTCTGGCTGTTAGGACAAGGCTGAAGGTTTTCTTTGGAAAGTGTCACCACTAGAAGAAGCTGGAGTTCTTCCCACTCGACAAAGATACTGCCTTACTAATGTCAGATGACTTTGTTCCCTCTATATCTCTTATTTTTAAACTCACCCCCAATGCTGCTAAGGGACAAAATTCAAATGTATGGCCAAAGCCTGTTGGTGTGCATTTGAATGACTGTCAGTCCCCTTTTGCATGTGGAGCTTTCTCTTGGGGGGATTTGGAAGTGTTTATATAAATGCGTCCCTAAAGAAATCTTTCAGCTTGAGAAAAAGTCAGGAGAAGATCTGGGAGAAGTTGTGCAAAGTACACCGAATTGAGAGCAGCTCACAGACGGCAGCTTCGAGGAGAGTTGTGCCCCTGTGTGTGATCAATATAATCTATTGCGAAAGAGAGCTTCGGTGGGGGAAAGAGATTTAGAAAGAAGCTCTTTAATTATTACCTGCAGAGAAGTTAAAGTGTAACTCCGCACTAACGTACTCCGGTGCCAGTTTGGGGTGGGGTGGGGGCCAAGTCAGGCATCGAGCCTGCCTGAAGTATGTATGGGAATAAAAAAAATCAAATTAATTTTAAAGATAAAATTAAGGGAAGGAAAATAAGCACTGACGAGGCGAAAGCATAGAGAAAATAAGTTAATCTTTCAGGTTGCTGACCTCTCTTTGTGCTTCGCACGGGGGAGCCGCCGAACAGGCTCTGGAGCTCGTAGCACCCACGCGTGAGCCTGTAGTCACCCCGCGCTGGTGTTTGTACCGCACCTCCCAAAGAGCCCAGATCTTCCCCCTTTCTGCCACGGCCTTTTCCTCGCACACGCTGCTCGGGGACACCGGTCATACTCCCCCCCTCTTTGCCCGCCTTCCCCCTCCCGGAGCCGCCTCCGTCCGCGCAGGTTGAGCAGGGGCTGCGCGGGCGGCGGCGGCCCCTGGGAGGGAAGGCGGGCGGGTGCTTAACTTGCGCATCTCCTCGTCCCTTTCGAAGATCACATCCTTGCCCTCAAAAAAGTGGGAGGAGAGCCCTGAGGTTTCCATGCCGATACGGCAGTGTATGTATAGGTATAAATTTTTGGTTGTTTTTTTTTTCTTCTTCTTCTTTTTTAAGGGAGTTTTGCTTCTTCGGCAGGTCAGCATGTTAATTAAAAGTTGACCCAGTTCGGTCGCTTGCAGTCCCAGGTGCGCTATTAACACATAAGAATTTTATTTTTTTTTTAAGATATCAAAATGCAAAAACTCGGTAGAAAACCCATTTCCTCTTTACTATTAACTAGCAGTCTCACAGAGAAAATCATTAGAGATATAATTAAATATGAGTCTATTTTTGAAGAATGTCCTGCAAAATAGCCCCAAAATATGATGTAGTAATTTGATTTTTTTTCCTTTGGCACTACAGGTGCTAGCTATATTTTCCGTCCATTTCCCACACCATGTATATTAAACAGGGAGGGAACATTGCTCCATTGTCGGTGATGACCCCAGACTTCGCCAGAATATTTTGCTCCTCGGTGCAAAATTGCGAAGTGAGTCTCTCTTTCAAAATCGCTATATTGGTTTTTATAATTACCTCATGGTCTAAACTTTTTCGTAGTCCATTTCCTAAAGGATGAAAAAGAAAATAATAAAAGGAAGGAAATAAAGAAAGGAACAAAGTTATCTGTATTAACATTTCTCTCATCCAGGCTGTCGATAACTTTCCCTGGATCGGGTCCTATGTTTCTATAGGCGCCCAGCTGTGGCGCGCGTCTGCCCCTGCCTGCCCGCCTGCCCTGCCTGCCCTGCCTGCAGCTTAGTCTGACACCGGCCCTCCGCAGGCCTTGGGTCGCTGCCGCTGCATCCCCCGCCCGGCCGGTCCCCTCCGCGCACCGCCGCGCCTTCCCCGGGCTCCGGGCCTCGGTCCGCGGTAACGTGTCCCCCCGCGGCATCGCACCGGGGAGCTTGTGGTCCACACCCCGGAGTGGGATCTGTCAGATTCTGATGGAGAGCTAAATATCTCCTAATGTTATGTATTGCAGATAAAAAAAAATTAAGAAAAAATTAAAAAAGGAAGAAAAAAAAAATAAGGAAAATATGCAGACTGCCCCCCATCCCCTTTCATCCCTAAGATTTTATTCTTTCCTCCGGAGTATTTTCTCTGCGGATAGTAAAACGTAGTTCACGGCTTGGCTTGCTTGGACTTGGCTTGGCTTTTGCTCGTTGCCTTTGCTTGCCTTGCCTTTGCCCCCGCGAGGTTGACCTCCGCAGTCCTCCGGGAACAAGCAGCCCTCTGCTCGAGCCCAGCGCGGGCGGAGGAGGAACCGGCTGAGCCCCCCGCAGCCGCCAAGCGCTGAAGCCGATCCCATGAGCCCGGGCAGGCGTGGGATTTAAAACCCTTCCCGGTCTTACTGGTACCTAGGAGCGCGTGGTTGTTGTTTATTTGTTTTTTTTTTTTTTGCCTCTTTCTCCCTTTGTAAGACTACGGAAGGTGAATAATGAAATCCCTTCGCTAATAGTTTATGAGCCATGAGATTGGAAAATGTGCGCGGATGACGCAGCGCGCCGGGCCTGAAGCGTCACTCCGGGGGCTTGCGGGAGGCGCGGCGTTGGCGGGGAGTCCGAGAGGTTGCCGGGGCGCATGCAGAGTGGCCGTCCGGCAGCAGGAGTCGCCACAGAGGCCCGAGGGTTGCCGGGGCTGCCCGGCGGCGGCGCGGCGGTTGTGCTCCGCGCCGGCACCTGCCGCCAGCAAGGGACCGCGAAAAGGAGAGCGGCTCCGTAACGAAGGGGGCTCGGGGGGCCCCCTGCCTGCACCCCGGGCACTGCCCGACACGGGCTCCTGCGCGTCCCCGCGGGAGGCACAAAGGCAGTGCGGGCCCTGCTCGGCCTTTCGGGGGGCTCAGCGGAGGCCGCCCCCCCGCAGGAGAGTGGGGACGAGCGGGCAGCGACCTTTAAAACCAGTTTGGAGGGAACTGGGGGCGCGGCTCTGGCACTCGTGCCGAAAGCCCCTTTCCTCGGCGTTTCTGCGGCAGGTCACGTCCGCGTGGATGGGGCAGGAGCAGGCGGGAGCGGTGTCGCTGCCCCCCTGCCCTCCCGGTGCACGTCTTGGCGGCACTCGCGCCCGTACAGGAGCGGACATTTCCCATCAAGCCAGTGCCGTGGGATGTCCGAGGGCATCGCTATCTCCCTGCCATAAAAACAAACCACTCATCAGCTCCGCTCGGTGTGCCATCGAGAGAAGTCGCCGCGGCGCGAACGGGCACCATCTGTCCTGCCATTCCAGGAGACGCACATATATTTCTTTAGACAGGTCAGCAGTTCTTCCCGGCCAGCCCTGTCAGGCACCTGTCAGGGGAGAAAACCTCTTCATAGCTGCCGCGGTGGGATCCTTATCAGCGGCAGCCCCTCTGCTGACAGGGCCCGGCCTTAAGCTTCCCGCAAATCAATGTCCTCCGGGGACAGGGGACTGTCGTTCCCGGGTGATGCAGAACGTGCTGGTACCGCTCAGCCCACCGACAAAAGATGGGGAGGGAGGCAGCGGGGGGAACTGGCCCCGAGGAGCCTGTAGGCTGCCCAAGAAGGCCAAGGTGGGCGCTGGAAGCAGGGGGCTCCCCCTGAGCCGTCGGACCGGCCCGCCGGCGCTGCCCACCCGCGAAGGGCCGGGGCACTGGGTACCCTCAAGGATGACGCTCTCTGGGCTCCCACGCGTGCCCCGGCGTGCGGGGGCTCCGCTGCGCCAGGTGGGGAGGGCGGTGTGGGGGGCCCGAACCGCGGAAACCCCACAGCCACGTGTTTCGTGGGGCTTTCTCTCGAGTGGGTCCATCGCTCCATGACTGACCCAAAGCCCTAGGCAAACACTTTGTCCCTACCAAAGTACCGCCCTCTCACCTCTCCCCCCCGTCCCCCCCCCCAATAATTCCGACCTGTTTTCTTTCTGTTCCTCACTTGCTTTCCAAGTGACGGCACGTTCAGGGGAGTCTGCCTGCCCGTCTTTTGCACTTCCACACGGTATCGCGTGGACATCTCCCCCCCACCAAAAAAAGAAAAGAAAAAAACCAACCAAAACAAAACAACAACAGACACCACTAAAAAAAAAAAAAAAAAAAAAAAAAAAAAAAAAAAGCCGAAAACGCACCGTGTGTTTCCAACTTGGAGTTAAAGTCGGTGCTAATCCGGGTCAGTTCCTGCCCCTAGCTGGGAAGGCAGGGAGGAGGATGTAACGTATAGGTTAGCGGAGGGGGGGGGTGGTGGGTCGTGGTAGTGGGAGGAACAAAAACAACCCCCGAAATAAACAAACAAACAAAAATCTCGCGCTCGATCACAATAAAGTGAAATTCCTTTCTACACACCCACAACTTTAGCTCTGTCTGCTGCCTGGGGGGTTTTAATCTTGCAAAGAGAAAGGGGGGCTCCCTGCGCAAAATTACGCCTTCTCCTCTCATTTGTTAGCTGATTCCATCAAAAAGTTCGCTATTTATAGGCTACACACACGAACCTGGAGTAATACAAACCCTCCCGTGTTGTTCCCTTCGCAAAGTGGCCGGTCCTGAAGCATCTGATCGGGTTTGTGTGTGTGTGCGCGAGTGAGAGCGAGCCACGCAGAGAGCGCTGCCATCCAAAAGGGGAAAGAAGAGCTCAAGCTGAGAGACTTATTAATTGCTAAGAGCTGCTCTGCCACCAGCCATGTGAGTACCTAACAATGATCACCTTTTGCACAGATGGTCAGCGATCAGGCACAGACACTTTCTGTCCTTTTCTTCCTCCCTCCCCTTCCTTATTTTTTTTATTCGCCTCCTGTATCCCTCCCACCCACCTTTCCTTTTTTTTTTTTTCTTTTTTTCTCTCTTTACTTTGAGTTCGCACGGTTTATTCCTCACGAAGAGGAGGAATGAAACGTAGGCGAGCGCGGGGGAGAAAATGTGCCGAAGAAGAGGAAGGAAGGAAGGAGTGGTGAAGGGAGAGGAGGAGGGTTTGTTAAGCGATCGCCTTATCCCCTGAGTCCGAGCCGGCTGGGAATTAGTAACAGCGAGATAACGGAGGTTGTATCCCTCCCTCTTCCTCCGCTTTTCTTTTCCTGGAGCGCTCAGACCCTCTGACAATTACTACACTGGTATCAGCGCAGACAACGTATTTATCAAACCTCATTTGGGGGAACTGAAAGAGAATTACAAATAAATAAATAAACAGATAAATAAATAAAGAGAGAGAACGCGGGGAGAAGGGGGTTTGATCGCTCCGCGTACAGCAATGACTGTCCGTCAGCTCCCAGCCCGCTGTGCAAGGCAGGTAGAAAGCGCCCGGAGAGCAGCCCGGTCCTGCGGGCTGAGCGTGGGATTTTGGGGAGAGTGGGAGCGCCCCAGCCCTTCGCCCCCGCCGCCCCTCCCCGGCGAGGTGGCAGCGAGGTGCAAGGAAGGCGATAGGCAGCGCTTCCCCCCCCGCCTCTGCTCCTTCCTTCCCCTTCGCGAGGTCTCGGCGGTTTCCAGGCAGGCAGTCCCAGCCCTCGGCGTGGCACAGTGCGTGAAATCAAGCCCCACGCAGCAGACAGGGCATGACACGTGGGTAAGGAAATTGCAGTTGATTCCGGAGTGGGGAAAAAATGAAATCTTTGCTAGGGAAACGTGGCTCTCGGAAAGGTGGGTGTCCTAGTTTGTGCAGGAATGCAGGGCTGGAAGACTCCGCTTGGAGAGGGGTTGGGGTGTGAACAGAGAAAGCGAATTAGTTTCCAGCGTGGCGAGGCGCTTTTCTAAGCCAACAGTCGAGCTCCAATCACACACTCTCAGGTTAGCGTAGCATTAAACTAGCAGGGTCGGGGTTATCCAGGGCAATTATACCGCGTGCCTGGGATGTAACCTCTGCTCATTTATACACAAAGCAGAGGGAGAGACGGAGTTACACCCGGAAAGCCAAAGAGCACGGTGAGTATCGGTATTCGCTCCTCTCTCTCCAATGCCTGTGAACAAAGTTCAAAGGCAGCCGGTGCGGGGCTGGGGCTGGCTCCGCCGGAGCCCCCCCCCTCCCCCCCTTTGGAGGCAGCAGCGCAGCCTTTGGCGCCGGGACCCCCAGTGCAACCCCTCCGGGGCGAGCCCTCGCTGAACAGCCAGGAGAACTTGCGGTATCTTGGTTAGAACTTTGCTACTTTACGTAGAGAGGGAAAAAAAAAAAAAAAAGGAGGGGAAAAAAAGTGACTTGGATGCAGCGCTATTTATAGGTGGCGGTAAAGGCTCCTTTTCAATAAGCTGCCGTGGAAAAGAAGCGTCAAAAAAACTGGCTGTTTTATTGATCCGAGGTGCTGGACCATCACAGCCATACTAGCCTTGCTGGACCTATAAAGTCGCGGCTTCTCTAGGGTTAGGCAGAGAGAAGGGGAATACAATCCGGATTTCACTGACCACTAGCTTGAACACGATTCAATTCCCAAGCACAGGTACAGGGCAAAAGGGTGTGAGATGGAAGACTTTTCCCTTTTCTTTCAGACACACACACAATGCAGGGCACCCGCTGGGCTGAAAGTGGGCCAGGGCTACACGGTAAGTATCAGATCACACAAAGCAGAGGAAAGAAATCCAGTTAAAAATACATTAGTTGAAATCAGAGGACGAGCTTGATTTTTTTCTTTTAAACAAAGGTGCACGTTAGAACAAGCTGGAAGCACTCTTTGTGCCTGACGGTATCCCCCACGCCCATTGGAAAAAAAGCAAGAGGCTTGCTCTTTCTTTGCATCTTTTAAACCTTGTTTTAATTAGAATTGCCAAAGTAGGACACTCCGGTGGAAGATGTTTTCAAGTATCCACCTACCTCTCTGCTGTAAGCAGAATTACTGTCTGCTAAATTGCTTGAAACGCAAAATTCTGCCCCACCCCCAGCTTGGTTTGGCACCTACTCACCTTTCCCCCTCGAAATTGCAATCGTTTATGAAAGGTTACTCCATTGGGAGGAAAAGAGAAACCCTAAACACCCAGCAGTAATGAGATGAGTGGACTCCAGGAGCCTCACTTTGCTCTGTACAATAGGAAAGGCTTCGGACAGACAGCGTCCCTCAAAACTCATGCCCTTTTTTTTTTTTTTTTTTTTTTTTGAAGTTCCAAATTGGGCGTATCCTTACCCTTCTCCTTTAATTTATTTGATTAAATCATAACCAAAACAGACTCATCAGCTTCCCGTATTTCCTCAGCTGTAACCATACGCGAAACCTTTTATATGGAAACAGATAATTGGCTTTAGTTAACTAAGGGCACAGGCTGCGCTCAAGTTTTACTCCCGTTCCCAGGGCAGCATTTCACGCAAACCCGTGTTTCAGCTCTGCCTCACACTCCTCAATCTCCAACCTAAAGTTTTGAAACTCTTTAAGCCATTCCCCACCGTTCTCTGATTTCTCTAATGAGGGATGCTCACTGCAGGGTCTTGCGGGACGAGGGGCTCTTCCCTCGCGGGGTTTAGGAGTGGCGGGGCCAGCTCAGGCCAGCCCGCTTTGAACTCGGAACCACTCCTGGACCGCGTCCCGCAAGCACCTGAATCGCACCTTAGTTACTGATCTCGCGGCTTGTTTCTCCTCCCTATTAAGGACTAGAGTAATAATTTCACCTTCAGGAAAGCGAAGTTCTGTTAGCTCACTTCTAGCTTAAATTAAAAAGAAAGAAAGGTAAAAAAAAAAAAAAAAAGAAAAAAAAAAAAGAAAAAAGGAAAACCTCTGAAAGTTTCTCGGGTAAAGCTCGGATTCCCTTTGGTTATTACTCAAAAGAAGAACCGCGTCAATTAACTCCAAATTGGAAATGGTTGCCCGAGAAGAATAATGATAATTCCCTGCCCTTCGCTAAGAAGTATTGCAGGATGGCACTTAGTGCGTGTGGTCCCTAATGACAGGGTTGCTGCTCTTCCCGGCGTTTGGCTTTCCCTGCCCCCCTGGCTTCGCTCTGAGGTCGGGCAGAGACGCCGGGCACGACTGTCCTGCCCAAACCTTCCCCCTCCCTGCCCGGAGCCACACGGGGTTTACACCTCCCACAGCCAACACAGTGTGATCACAGTATTAAACCAGAATTAATTACTCCTATGCCCCGATAAGAGGGCAGGGCCCTCATAGCAACAGGTAACGAGGGCAGCTCTTCAAGCTATTATTTAACTGATAATAGAGGAAGCAGGAGGCTTGCTAAAGGGTCGCACTCGGTAAGAGGGGACGTGAGGGAAGCAGACCATCAAAAAAGGGTGCTTAGTGATACTTAAGTAAAGTCAAAAGTTGCTGCGAGGGGAACGGGATCCCCGCAGAGAAACGGGACGGCTTCTTCGCCTGGGTTTCTTGCTGGTTTCTGGTGGTCCACAGAAGCCCCACAAGCCGCCCCGCGGAGCGGCCGCGGCTTTGGGACCGCGACTGTGGGGCCGGGCACGTGTTGCACTCCTGGGGAGCGAGTCCCCCCCGACTCTCCGCGGGGGATGCTGCCGGGGATGCTCGGGGCGCCCGGTGCGGGCCCTCGCTGGGGCAGGGCTGGACGGGCGGGAAGGCACTGCTGTGTGCGGGGGGAGCCGGGCAGCCTCCCACCCGCTTATTTCATCGGTGAGGGCACGGCAGGAGCGGGCGCTTCGCGGTCAGGCACAAACCAGACCCCGAGAAAGCCCTCGCAAGGTTTGTGTGAGGCTCACGGGCCGAGTGGGGCGTCCACAGCCACCCCGGGGCTTCCCCCACTGAGCCGCCGCCGGGGCCGCTGCCGCCGGGGACTCCGTGGGGCGGGCAGGGCTGACCCTGGGGCGGCGGCGGGAGGGGAGGGTCTCTGGGCTGACCCGAAAGGAGGGGGGCTCCCCCCTCCCTCCACTCCCTTCCCCTGCCCGGCTCTTTGTTCTTTGCCCCTTTGTTCTCCCTCTCGAAGTTTCCAGGGGTGTTGCCGACGCGGAGAAAAGTTGCCGAAAGCTGAGGAATTACAATAAGTGGATGCAGGAGTAGGGAAAGAGGATGGGGATCCCTTCGCGAGGCTACGAGCCATTCCCTAAATCCTGTCGCTTTATCTGGCTTGCCCAAGGGGTCGGTGCGTGGTGCCGGAGACGGGTCGCGTTTGTAGGGATGCTGAGGAGAAAGGGGGAGATGGGGCTCCCTCGGCCACACCACAGTCCTGGGGGACCGGTCACCCCCTTTCGCCATTTAAAAGCGTTCTGGGGGGGCAAGTGTCTTTTCTGTCCTTTCTGACTGGAAAGGGAAGAAAATAAAAATAATCGGTGAACGTATCGTAATGAGTTGAGGCGGTAGGTCGCAGTGATGAAGGATTTCTGAATGTTAGATTTTAGGGCACATGTATTGGTTTGAGATGTACAACTCCAGAATGGATTCGGCTCCATCATTTTCTTCTCAATGATTTTTGTGCTTGCTTGACAGGGTAATGGTAAAGTGTTGTCAGGAGTTAAACAAGTTGGTGCTTAATTTCAAAGCAGATGGAATATCTTCACAGAGCAACATTGCAGCTTAAGAGACAGCTTTAGTGTGATTAATGGGAGATCACAGCATGGTTTGGTATTGACAATAATACCAAAACTTCCTTTGAAAAGGAAAACATCTTCATTTGGTACAATACGGTGTAGCCTTATCCTCTCTTTACTACTCATAATTACATGTTAGAGAACTACAAGTTTATTTTACCTTGCATTAAGAAATCCCAAATAACTTCTCAAATCAGTTATCCCACTAATCTTCTTTTTCCCCCAGTATATGATAG